GAAGGTTAAGGGAGTGGTGGTGCAATTCAAAGGGGTTGGTGAAAAAGGAGCGGTGGCCTCATTACCAGCCTTGCAATCAGTGCAGTAGTTGGGGCAGAGAGAGCAGAAGGTTAAGGGAGTGGTGGTGCAATTCAAAGGGGTTGGTGAAAAAGGAGCGGTGGCCTCATTACCAGCCTTGCAATCAGTGCAGTAGTTGGGGCAGAGAGAGCAGAAGGTTAAGGGAGTGGTGGTGCAATTCAAAGGGGTTGGTGAAAAAGGAGCGGTGGCCTCATTACCAGCCTTGCAATCAGTGCAGTAGTTGGGGCAGAGAGAGCAGAAGGTTAAGGGAGTGGTGGTGCAATTCAAAGGGGTTGGTGAAAAAGGAGCGGTGGCCTCATTACCAGCCTTGCAATCAGTGCAGTAGTTGGGGCAGAGAGAGCAGAAGGTTAAGGGAGTGGTGGTGCAATTCAAAGGGGTTGGTGAAAAAGGAGCGGTGGCCTCATTACCAGCCTTGCAATCAGTGCAGTAGTTGGGGCAGAGAGAGCAGAAGGTTAAGGGAGTGGTGGTGCAATTCAAAGGGGTTGGTGAAAAAGGAGCGGTGGCCTCATTACCAGCCTTGCAATCAGTGCAGTAGTTGGGGCAGAGAGAGCAGAAGGTTAAGGGAGTGGTGGTGCAATTCAAAGGGGTTGGTGAAAAAGGAGCGGTGGCCTCATTACCAGCCTTGCAATCAGTGCAGTAGTTGGGGCAGAGAGAGCAGAAGGTTAAGGGAGTGGTGGTGCAATTCAAAGGGGTTGGTGAAAAAGGAGCGGTGGCCTCATTACCAGCCTTGCAATCAGTGCAGTAGTTGGGGCAGAGAGAGCAGAAGGTTAAGGGAGTGGTGGTGCAATTCAAAGGGGTTGGTGAAAAAGGAGCGGTGGCCTCATTACCAGCCTTGCAATCAGTGCAGTAGTTGGGGCAGAGAGAGCAGAAGGTTAAGGGAGTGGTGGTGCAATTCAAAGGGGTTGGTGAAAAAGGAGCGGTGGCCTCATTACCAGCCTTGCAATCAGTGCAGTAGTTGGGGCAGAGAGAGCAGAAGGTTAAGGGAGTGGTGGTGCAATTCAAAGGGGTTGGTGAAAAAGGAGCGGTGGCCTCATTACCAGCCTTGCAATCAGTGCAGTAGTTGGGGCAGAGAGAGCAGAAGGTTAAGGGAGTGGTGGTGCAATTCAAAGGGGTTGGTGAAAAAGGAGCGGTGGCCTCATTACCAGCCTTGCAATCAGTGCAGTAGTTGGGGCAGAGAGAGCAGAAGGTTAAGGGAGTGGTGGTGCAATTCAAAGGGGTTGGTGAAAAAGGAGCGGTGGCCTCATTACCAGCCTTGCAATCAGTGCAGTAGTTGGGGCAGAGAGAGCAGAAGGTTAAGGGAGTGGTGGTGCAATTCAAAGGGGTTGGTGAAAAAGGAGCGGTGGCCTCATTACCAGCCTTGCAATCAGTGCAGTAGTTGGGGCAGAGAGAGCAGAAGGTTAAGGGAGTGGTGGTGCAATTCAAAGGGGTTGGTGAAAAAGGAGCGGTGGCCTCATTACCAGCCTTGCAATCAGTGCAGTAGTTGGGGCAGAGAGAGCAGAAGGTTAAGGGAGTGGTGGTGCAATTCAAAGGGGTTGGTGAAAAAGGAGCGGTGGCCTCATTACCAGCCTTGCAATCAGTGCAGTAGTTGGGGCAGAGAGAGCAGAAGGTTAAGGGAGTGGTGGTGCAATTCAAAGGGGTTGGTGAAAAAGGAGCGGTGGCCTCATTACCAGCCTTGCAATCAGTGCAGTAGTTGGGGCAGAGAGAGCAGAAGGTTAAGGGAGTGGTGGTGCAATTCAAAGGGGTTGGTGAAAAAGGAGCGGTGGCCTCATTACCAGCCTTGCAATCAGTGCAGTAGTTGGGGCAGAGAGAGCAGAAGGTTAAGGGAGTGGTGGTGCAATTCAAAGGGGTTGGTGAAAAAGGAGCGGTGGCCTCATTACCAGCCTTGCAATCAGTGCAGTAGTTGGGGCAGAGAGAGCAGAAGGTTAAGGGAGTGGTGGTGCAATTCAAAGGGGTTGGTGAAAAAGGAGCGGTGGCCTCATTACCAGCCTTGCAATCAGTGCAGTAGTTGGGGCAGAGAGAGCAGAAGGTTAAGGGAGTGGTGGTGCAATTCAAAGGGGTTGGTGAAAAAGGAGCGGTGGCCTCATTACCAGCCTTGCAATCAGTGCAGTAGTTGGGGCAGAGAGAGCAGAAGGTTAAGGGAGTGGTGGTGCAATTCAAAGGGGTTGGTGAAAAAGGAGCGGTGGCCTCATTACCAGCCTTGCAATCAGTGCAGTAGTTGGGGCAGAGAGAGCAGAAGGTTAAGGGAGTGGTGGTGCAATTCAAAGGGGTTGGTGAAAAAGGAGCGGTGGCCTCATTACCAGCCTTGCAATCAGTGCAGTAGTTGGGGCAGAGAGAGCAGAAGGTTAAGGGAGTGGTGGTGCAATTCAAAGGGGTTGGTGAAAAAGGAGCGGTGGCCTCATTACCAGCCTTGCAATCAGTGCAGTAGTTGGGGCAGAGAGAGCAGAAGGTTAAGGGAGTGGTGGTGCAATTCAAAGGGGTTGGTGAAAAAGGAGCGGTGGCCTCATTACCAGCCTTGCAATCAGTGCAGTAGTTGGGGCAGAGAGAGCAGAAGGTTAAGGGAGTGGTGGTGCAATTCAAAGGGGTTGGTGAAAAAGGAGCGGTGGCCTCATTACCAGCCTTGCAATCAGTGCAGTAGTTGGGGCAGAGAGAGCAGAAGGTTAAGGGAGTGGTGGTGCAATTCAAAGGGGTTGGTGAAAAAGGAGCGGTGGCCTCATTACCAGCCTTGCAATCAGTGCAGTAGTTGGGGCAGAGAGAGCAGAAGGTTAAGGGAGTGGTGGTGCAATTCAAAGGGGTTGGTGAAAAAGGAGCGGTGGCCTCATTACCAGCCTTGCAATACGTGCAGTAGTTGGGGCAGAGAGAGCAGAAGGTTAAGGGAGTGGTGGTGCAATTCAAAGGGGTTGGTGAAAAAGGAGCGGTGGCCTCATTACCAGCCTTGCAATCAGTGCAGTAGTTGGGGCAGAGAGAGCAGAAGGTTAAGGGAGTGGTGGTGCAATTCAAAGGGGTTGGTGAAAAAGGAGCGGTGGCCTCATTACCAGCCTTGCAATACGTGCAGTAGTTGGGGCAGAGAGAGCAGAAGGTTAAGGGAGTGGTGGTGCAATTCAAAGGGGTTGGTGAAAAAGGAGCGGTGGCCTCATTACCAGCCTTGCAATCAGTGCAGTAGTTGGGGCAGAGAGAGCAGAAGGTTAAGGGAGTGGTGGTGCAATTCAAAGGGGTTGGTGAAAAAGGAGCGGTGGCCTCATTACCAGCCTTGCAATCAGTGCAGTAGTTGGGGCAGAGAGAGCAGAAGGTTAAGGGAGTGGTGGTGCAATTCAAAGGGGTTGGTGAAAAAGGAGCGGTGGCCTCATTACCAGCCTTGCAATCAGTGCAGTAGTTGGGGCAGAGAGAGCAGAAGGTTAAGGGAGTGGTGGTGCAATTCAAAGGGGTTGGTGAAAAAGGAGCGGTGGCCTCATTACCAGCCTTGCAATCAGTGCAGTAGTTGGGGCAGAGAGAGCAGAAGGTTAAGGGAGTGGTGGTGCAATTCAAAGGGGTTGGTGAAAAAGGAGCGGTGGCCTCATTACCAGCCTTGCAATCAGTGCAGTAGTTGGGGCAGAGAGAGCAGAAGGTTAAGGGAGTGGTGGTGCAATTCAAAGGGGTTGGTGAAAAAGGAGCGGTGGCCTCATTACCAGCCTTGCAATCAGTGCAGTAGTTGGGGCAGAGAGAGCAGAAGGTTAAGGGAGTGGTGGTGCAATTCAAAGGGGTTGGTGAAAAAGGAGCGGTGGCCTCATTACCAGCCTTGCAATCAGTGCAGTAGTTGGGGCAGAGAGAGCAGAAGGTTAAGGGAGTGGTGGTGCAATTCAAAGGGGTTGGTGAAAAAGGAGCGGTGGCCTCATTACCAGCCTTGCAATCAGTGCAGTAGTTGGGGCAGAGAGAGCAGAAGGTTAAGGGAGTGGTGGTGCAATTCAAAGGGGTTGGTGAAAAAGGAGCGGTGGCCTCATTACCAGCCTTGCAATACGTGCAGTAGTTGGGGCAGAGAGAGCAGAAGGTTAAGGGAGTGGTGGTGCAATTCAAAGGGGTTGGTGAAAAAGGAGCGGTGGCCTCATTACCAGCCTTGCAATCAGTGCAGTAGTTGGGGCAGAGAGAGCAGAAGGTTAAGGGAGTGGTGGTGCAATTCAAAGGGGTTGGTGAAAAAGGAGCGGTGGCCTCATTACCAGCCTTGCAATACGTGCAGTAGTTGGGGCAGAGAGAGCAGAAGGTTAAGGGAGTGGTGGTGCAATTCAAAGGGGTTGGTGAAAAAGGAGCGGTGGCCTCATTACCAGCCTTGCAATCAGTGCAGTAGTTGGGGCAGAGAGAGCAGAAGGTTAAGGGAGTGGTGGTGCAATTCAAAGGGGTTGGTGAAAAAGGAGCGGTGGCCTCATTACCAGCCTTGCAATCAGTGCAGTAGTTGGGGCAGAGAGAGCAGAAGGTTAAGGGAGTGGTGGTGCAATTCAAAGGGGTTGGTGAAAAAGGAGCGGTGGCCTCATTACCAGCCTTGCAATCAGTGCAGTAGTTGGGGCAGAGAGAGCAGAAGGTTAAGGGAGTGGTGGTGCAATTCAAAGGGGTTGGTGAAAAAGGAGCGGTGGCCTCATTACCAGCCTTGCAATCAGTGCAGTAGTTGGGGCAGAGAGAGCAGAAGGTTAAGGGAGTGGTGGTGCAATTCAAAGGGGTTGGTGAAAAAGGAGCGGTGGCCTCATTACCAGCCTTGCAATCAGTGCAGTAGTTGGGGCAGAGAGAGCAGAAGGTTAAGGGAGTGGTGGTGCAATTCAAAGGGGTTGGTGAAAAAGGAGCGGTGGCCTCATTACCAGCCTTGCAATCAGTGCAGTAGTTGGGGCAGAGAGAGCAGAAGGTTAAGGGAGTGGTGGTGCAATTCAAAGGGGTTGGTGAAAAAGGAGCGGTGGCCTCATTACCAGCCTTGCAATACGTGCACAAGTTGGGGCAGAGAGAGCAGAAGGCGAGTGGAGCAGCAGAGGAGGCGAGGAGGGAGGTGAGAGAGGGAGTGCAGGCAGAGACAGGCGAGGGGCACTCCATGCCCTCACTGATGCTCCTGTTGTTGTGGGGGGATGGGGAGAGGAGGAGAGAGGAGGGGGAGGTGGGAGTTGAGAGAAAACACAGAGGGGGCGATGTGCACTCCATGCCCTTGCTAATGCTCCTGTTGTTGTGGGGGATGGGCGCAGGGGGGGGAGAGGACTTTTAAGTCGAATCAAAAGGGGTTGCATGCTGAAGCAAGTGAGGAGCACTCCTTGCCCTCGCTGATGCTCCTGTTGTTCTTGGGGATGGGATGAGTAGAGTAGCAAAACAGGTGGGGAGGGGCATGGAGGGGTGAGATGTTAGTTAGACACTCCATGCCAGTGCTGATGCTTCTGCTGTTGAAGAGAAGAGAGACAAAACACGGTGGGTGGGGGGGTTAGGAGGGGTGAAGGGTTGGGGGGGTGTGGGACGAGAGGCACATTGTACCTGCCATACGGCGAATGGCACTACTCATGCTCCTGTCCTTGGAAGGGGAGTGAGAAGAGGGAAGGGGAGAGGAGGGGAAGAGGAGGGGAAGAGGAGGGGAAGGAGGAGGGGAAGAGGAGGGGAAGAAGAGGGGAAGAGGAGGGGAAGGGGAGGGGAAGAGGAGGGGAAGAGGAGGGAAGGGGAGGGGAAGAGGAAGGGAAGAAGGAGAGGAGGGAGGATCCCACAGAGTTCCTTTTGAGAGTTATCAAGAGGATTTTTAAGACAGATTTTAAGACAGGTTCCAAAACATGCAGAGGTTAACTTAGAGCAGAGATAAGGCATGAGAGGAGGTAAATGTAAAGAAGGGGTACAAGCATGAAGACAATGAGATGACACCTAAGTCAAGGCACACTCACACTTCCACGAGGCTTGGACAGCGAGTGAGCACCAACGGGTCCGTGCTCATGAAGAAGGGCAGCAGTAGGTAGAGTCGCCTTTAGCAAAGGGACGTTAGTCAACTAAAGAAAAAAGTAACCCCGAGCCACACTCACACTTCCACGAGGCTTGGGCAGCGAGCGAGCACCAGCGGGACAGGCCCTGTGAAGCGGTTTCCGGAGAGTTGGCTGGAGAGGGATGGGGGATAAGGGAGATGGGGGGATAAGGGAGATGGGGGATGAGGGAGATGGGGGGATGAGGGAGATAGGGGATGAGGGAGATGGGGGGATGAGGGAGATAGGGGATGAGGGAGATGGGGGGATGAGGGAGATGGGGGGATGAGGGAGATGGGGGGATGAGGGAGATAGGGGATGAGGGAGATGGAGGGATGAGGGAGATAGGGGATGAGGGAGATGGGGGGATGAGGGAGATCGGGGGATGAGCGAGATGTATGAGTGAGATGTATGAGTGAGATGTATGAGTGAGATGTTTGAGTGAGAGAGGACTGCTTTTGAGTCGACTCAAAAGCAGCAAGCGAGCACCAACGGGACAGCCCCTGTGAAGCGGTTCCCAGGGGCCAGAGACTTGGCTGGATGGGGATGGGGGGATAAGGGAGAAGTATATGAGTGAGCGATGATGCATGGGAAGAGGGAAAGGAGATGACTTTTGAGTAGAATCAAAAGTCAACTCGAGATGTTTTGAGTGAGAGAGGATGCATGGCAACAGGGAAAGGAAGTGACGTGCATGGAGCTGTGGAATGGAGAGAAGCCAGCAACAGAAGGGAAACACTTTGTGAAATGCAAACTAGAGAGCCGGCTGTTGCCTGGAGGGAGAATGTGCAGAGAGAAATGGGATGTGCACGATGCAAGAAGGCTCAGAGTGTGGATGGAAGGCAGAGGGTGGAGGACAGTTAGGGGGGGTCTCACAAGATGTAGAGCTTCGGCAAGGGGGGGAACATGGAGTCTGTGATTGGGCCGGAGAGGTTGTTGTTCTGCACGTCGCTGTGAGGGAGGATGGAGAAGAGAGGGGTGGAAAGTAGAGGTTGGAGAGGGGAGGGAGGAAAGAGGAGAGCGGAGAAGGGAGGGCGGAGAGGGGAGAGCGGAGAAGGGAGGGCTTTTGAGGAGCCTCAAAAGTCGAGAGAGGAGGGAGGAAAGAAGAGAGGGGAGGGAGGAAAGAAGAGGGGAGAAGGGAGGGCGGAGAGGGGAGGGGCTTGCATTGAGGGATGGAGAAGGGAAAGATGGGAGAGTGGATGTGGAGGAGCGTAGGGATGGAGAGAAATTGTGCCTACGCTCATCACATTCCTTCTCTGGCAATGTGCGATTGAGCGCCCCTCTCAACGTGAGGTGAGATAGCGCGTGTTGTTGAGTACTTATTGTCCAAGTTTGCTGGAGGTTTAGTTCAGTGGGTTTATACGAGTTATACGTATCCATTTACAATGTAATGGTGTAGACATTAGGTGTTGGGTTATAACAGTTATGTTTCTCGAACCTTTCAGCATTCCTGAACCATCTTCTCCTTGTGCGCATATACAAGAATTTCAGGCTCCTCAAAAGTAGATTCTGAATCAGCTTCTCCTTGTGCACATAGTGCACATTGGTCTGCTTTTCTGCAGTACGCCCCTCGCTCACAATGTGAAGAAGGCTGGGTTGGTGACCGAAGGGTCAGGGAGGCGGCCAGACAGCTGGTTGTTGGCGAGCAGGCTGCATGGGCGGTGGAGAAGGGGGAGAGGTCATGCGCATTAAAGCCAAACAAGAGCGGGTGGGTGGGTTCAGCTAGAAGGCCTGACAGCTGGTTGTTGGCGAGCAGGCTGCATGGGCGGTGGAGAAGGGGGAGAGGTCATGCGCATTAAAGCCAAACAAGAGCGGGTGGGTGGGTTCAGCTAGAAGGCCTGACAGCTGGTTGTTGGCGAGCAGGCTGCATGGGCGGTGGAGAAGGGGGAGAGGTCATGCGCATTAAAGCCAAACAAGAGCGGGTGGGTGGGTTCAGCTAGAAGGCCTGACAGCTGGTTGTTGGCGAGCAGGCTGCATGGGCGGTGGAGAAGGGGGAGAGGTCATGCGCATTAAAGCCAAACAAGAGCGGGTGGGTGGGTTCAGCTAGAAGGCCTGACAGCTGGTTGTTGGCGAGCAGGCTGCATGGGCGGTGGAGAAGGGGGAGAGGTCATGCGCATTAAAGCCAAACAAGAGCGGGTGGGTGGGTTCAGCTAGAAGGCCTGACAGCTGGTTGTTGGCGAGCAGGCTGCATGGGCGGTGGAGAAGGGGGAGAGGTCATGCGCATTAAAGCCAAACAAGAGCGGGTGGGTGGGTTCAGCTAGAAGGCCTGACAGCTGGTTGTTGGCGAGCAGGCTGCATGGGCGGTGGAGAAGGGGGAGAGGTCATGCGCATTAAAGCCAAACAAGAGCGGGTGGGTGGGTTCAGCTAGAAGGCCTGACAGCTGGTTGTTGGCGAGCAGGCTGCATGGGCGGTGGAGAAGGGGGAGAGGTCATGCGCATTAAAGCCAAACAAGAGCGGGTGGGTGGGTTCAGCTAGAAGGCCTGACAGCTGGTTGTTGGCGAGCAGGCTGCATGGGCGGTGGAGAAGGGGGAGAGGTCATGCGCATTAAAGCCAAACAAGAGCGGGTGGGTGGGTTCAGCTAGAAGGCCTGACAGCTGGTTGTTGGCGAGCAGGCTGCATGGGCGGTGGAGAAGGGGGAGAGGTCATGCGCATTAAAGCCAAACAAGAGCGGGTGGGTGGGTTCAGCTAGAAGGCCTGACAGCTGGTTGTTGGCGAGCAGGCTGCATGGGCGGTGGAGAAGGGGGAGAGGTCATGCGCATTAAAGCCAAACAAGAGCGGGTGGGTGGGTTCAGCTAGAAGGCCTGACAGCTGGTTGTTGGCGAGCAGGCTGCATGGGCGGTGGAGAAGGGGGAGAGGTCATGCGCATTAAAGCCAAACAAGAGCGGGTGGGTGGGTTCAGCTAGAAGGCCTGACAGCTGGTTGTTGGCGAGCAGGCTGCATGGGCGGTGGAGAAGGGGGAGAGGTCATGCGCATTAAAGCCAAACAAGAGCGGGTGGGTGGGTTCAGCTAGAAGGCCTGACAGCTGGTTGTTGGCGAGCAGGCTGCATGGGCGGTGGAGAAGGGGGAGAGGTCATGCGCATTAAAGCCAAACAAGAGCGGGTGGGTGGGTTCAGCTAGAAGGCCTGACAGCTGGTTGTTGGCGAGCAGGCTGCATGGGCGGTGGAGAAGGGGGAGAGGTCATGCGCATTAAAGCCAAACAAGAGCGGGTGGGTGGGTTCAGCTAGAAGGCCTGACAGCTGGTTGTTGGCGAGCAGGCTGCATGGAAGGTATGGTGAAGGGGAGAGGCGAAAGGTGTATCACAGAAATTAGGGAGGGATCAGAGAGGGTGGGATCAGAGAGGGTGGAATCAAAGAGAGGTTGGGATGCGGCTCATTGTGGCCTAAGAGGCGGCTCACTATAGTTTGACAGGCAGATTACTATGTTCGAAGAGGGAACTTGCTATTGTCAGAGAGGGAGGCTTGTTATAGATTGAGAGGTTGCTTGCAATGGAACTTGAAATAGCACTTGAAATGGCACTGACAGTTTTCTCAGTTTTGGAGCACTTGCAATGGAGGGTGGTATGCTGCCCTGCAGCTTGTTGTTGGAGAGGATTCTGTTCAGATAAGTGGGGGACGGAAGGAGAGAGGGAGGGACAGAAGGAAAGAGAAAGAAGGGCAGAGGGAGTGACTCCTGTAGGACGGAGAAGGACAGGAGGAGTGGTATGCAGCCGTGCAGCAGGTTGTTTGAGAGGAGACTGCCCAGACAGGGGAGGGATGAGAGATTCAAAGAGAGGCGCAAGTGAATCCACAGAAATTAGGGAGGGATCAGAGGAGGGTGGGATTAGAGAGGATGCAGTGGAGGGTGGTATGCAGCAATGCAGCTTGTTGTTGGAGAAGATTCTGTGGAGATAAGGAAGGGAGTGAGAGAGTGAGAGGGAGTGAGGAAAAGTGAGTGTGATACGGAGGAAGACAGTTGTTCGAACATAGCTGCCTGCCCCGCGGGTTCATTGGGCAGCCCCGAAACAGGTTGTTGGAGAGGATTCTGGGGAGGATTCTGGGGAGGATTCTGGGGAGGATTCTGGGGAGGATTCTGGGGAGGATTCTGGGGAGGGTTCTGGGGAGGATTCTGGGGAGGGTTCTGGGGAGGATTCTGGGGAGGATTCTGGGGAGGATTCTGGGGAGGGTTCTGGGGAGGATTCTGGGGAGGATTCTGGGGAGGGTTCTGGGGAGGGTTCTGGGGAGGATTCTGGGGAGGATTCTGGGGAGGGTTCTGGGGAGGGTTCTGGGGAGGGTTCTGGGGAGGGTTCTGGGGAAGGTTCTGGGGAAGGTTCTGGGGAAGGTTCTGGGGAGCCATGAAGCCCTGAAAGAAGGTTCTGGGGAGATATGTAAAGGAAGGAGTTTTGAGCCGACTTCAAAATCACCTTGTTACAATGACACATGGCCTTACAGAGTGATTTTTGAAAATTCTCAAAATCACACACGTGGCCCTACAGCAGGTTGCTGGAGAGGCTCGTGTGGAGATAGGGAAGGGGAGGAGAGAGTGAGAGGGAGTGAGGGAGTGACTTTTGAGTGGACTCTGCAGGGTGTGCGTTAAAGTTTCAAAATCACACTGCAATAAAATTGAAAGGGGCAGAAAGGACTTTTGAGTCAACTCATTACAGGGTTGGCAGGGAGCCGTTGTTGAGGTTAAAGGCTTACAGGACTTGAAGGGCTGAGAAGCTTGCGAAGTTGGTTGGCAAAGTGCCGTTGAGTCTGTTGTCGTTGAGATAGCTGGTGGTGGGGAGGAGGTGTATGGAGTAGAGTGAGGGGATGGTGGGTGGACGAATGGTGGGGGAGTAGTGGGATTATGGGGATGGATAAGGGTGACGGATAAAGAGCGACAGATAAAGGGTGACAGATAAACGGCGGCAGATAAAGGGCAGGTTGAGAGAAGGAAGGGGGGTGCAGAAAAGGATGACTGCAGTCTGTTAGAATATCTCTCCTCTTGTAACCTGCATATATGCTATAGGATAGGCTAGAGTTAAGCACCCAAACTCAGTTTGGGTGTACAAACAGGGGTAACCCAGTTTGTAGGTTGGAAACCCAACCTTGGTCCAATTATTGGACCCCAAAGGTTGGGTTGGGTAGAATTATTGGTCCCCTCCAATAATGTTGGCCCAACCCCAACTTGGCCAACATTATTGGACCCCACCAATAATCTCCCAACCCAACTTCTTGGTTGGGGTCCAATAATGCTCACCTAGGCTAGTATCCAACCCACTTCCTATGTATACCCCTATCCTTCTCAATGCAGCCATCAACTCCATTCCTAACTCTTATTCTCACATTGTGATGGTGGGTTGTGACATTCTTGCAATTTCAACCAGCACTGCTCACATGAGCTCCAGGCGTGGCAAGGAGGCGAGGAAGGAGGGCATGTTGCCATGCAACCCGTTGTGGTGGAAGGAGCTGATGAGACACAGCGAGGAGGGGAGTGATGAGGAGAGTGAGGAGGGGAGTGAGGAGGGGAGTGAGGAGGGGAGTGAGGAGGGGAGTGAGGAGGGGAGTGAGGATGGGAGTGAGGATGAGAGTGAGGAGGGGAGTGAGGAGCGGAGTGAGGAGCAGAGTGAGGAGAGGGTGGGACGGAAAGCACAGTGCAAGGCAGGTGGTGCATGCAAGGCAGGTGGTGCATGCAAGGCAGGTGGTGCATGCAAAAGCACAGAGGTACTCTGTGGTGTGGTGTGGTGTGGTGCAAGGGGCTTCTGAGCACAGATAATAAAATGAAGCATGGGGAGTGAAAGGGTGTGAGAGGAAGGACAGTGTGGAATGACTGATAGGAAGGAGAGGGCAGTGAGGGACTGACAGCAGCAAGAGTGAGGTGAGGGAGGAGAAGGATTGAGGGATGGTTCCCGTGAGGCTGTTGTTGTCAGCTCGCCTGCCATGCCGGCACGTGCCACACAACAACCGTGCCATGGCATTCCATGCCATGCCGTGTGACATGACATATCATGCCATGCCTTGCCATAATCCCATAACATTCCATGCATGTCATTCCATGCGATATCATGCCATGTCATCATCCCATTTCATCCCATTATCATCCCATACCATGATGTGTCATGTCGTGGCATATCATCCCATGTCATTCCATGTAGTGCCATGCCATGCCATGCCATGCCATGCCATGATAGATGTTGTGCCTCTCCATGCCATCACATGTCATACAACGCATGCAGGACTTAAATTGGATGAGTAAGCGACGTCGACCTACACGGAGCATAGCGTTAAAAAAAAAAGTGAAGAGTTGATTTAGGTAGACTCAGTGTCAGAAAGGTAGGGCAGGAAAGGAGAGGGAAACGAAGGGTGCGTACATGGAGCGGATAAGCCTCAGATTGCCCATGGTAGAGGGCAGTGAGCCTGAGATGCTGTTGTGGGAGAGGTCACTGTGGTGGGCGGATAGAGAAGGGAGAGAGGGAGAGGACCGCTGGAGAGGTTAGCTCGAGGAAAAGATGGGAGAGGACCGTTTGTGATAAGCCTCAGATTGTCCATGGTAAAGGGCAGTGACCCTGAGATGCTGTTGTGGGAGAGGTCACTGTGGTGGGCGGATAGAGGAGGGGGACGTATGAGGGGGAACAGAGGGGAAAGAGGGGGAGCAAAGCAAAGCACTCATTGAGAGGGCGATTTGCTTTGAGGGGAACAGATGAAAACGAAAGGAGATGCCCAAGGTTGAGGGCCGTGAGGTGAGCCTGAGATGCTGTTGTGTGAGAGGTCACTGCAGTAGGAAACACCGGAACACCGGGATGGGAGAGAGTGAGCAAAGGACCGTTTGAGAGGGGGGTTCGATTCGAGAGGAACAAACGGTTGCTTCTTTTCGATCTCTAGAAAAAAAAAAAAAAAAAAAACGTCCATGGTTGAAGGTCGTGAGCTTGAGATGCTGTTGTGTGAGAGGTCACTGTGATGGGCTGATAGAGGAGGGGGACGCATGAGGGGAACAGAGGGGGAGAGGCGGAGCAAAGCACCGTTTGAGAGGGTGGTTCAAGGGGAACAGACGAAAAGAAAGAGGCCCATGGTTGAAGGGCGTGAGATTGAGACGCTGTCGTGTGTGTGAGAGGAGGTCGGTGGTGGCGGATACAGGAAAAAGAGAAGGAGAGAATCGGTTGAGAGGTTAGCTCGAAAGAAACAGATGGGATGGCGAGAGGAGGGTGAGTGGTAGGAACGGCAAGAGGAGGTTAAGTCGTAGGAACAGCGAGAGGAGAGAGGTGCTTTGTACAGGTGATGCTCTTGGTGAGAGGAGCAGAGGTGCTTTGAAGGTTAAAGAGGACTCTCATGGCTTGAGGTGATTTCTTTCTATTGAGTCCTTTGCATTATTAGGCCTCTGAAAGTTCAAAACTGCATGATATGAGGGTGTTTTTTGAGACGTCTCAAAAGAACTTTCAAAAACACCCCCATTTTCATGTGGCTCACAACTGACAGTCCGGCCTTGCGTTCTTAGGCGTCTGATCTGAAAGCTCAAAACTGAAACTGAAGACTCACAGGCCTTGCAAGCTTGAGAGCCCTCCCATGGCTTGGGGTAGACTGCCTGTGAGCCGGTTGAGCTGTATGCTCCTGCGATGGGTGGTGAGGAGTGGGGAGGGGTGAATGGTGAGTGGAGAGTGGTGCGTGGAGCGACTTTTGAGACGTCTCAAAAGACATGGCATGGGGCAGTAGACTGCCTGTGAGCCGGTTGATCTGCATGCTTTTGCAATGGGTGGTGAGCGATGGAGAGGGGTGAATGGTGAGTGGAGAGTGGTGAGGTGAGTGGTGAGTGGAGAGTGGTGACGGATGAGTAGTTAGTGAGCGATGGGCAGTGAGAAATGATGGTTTAGCAGTGATCGAAGCAGTGTGTAGCATTCTTCAGAGTGGAAAGTAATCACCTCCGAGTCGAGTCTTACTATAATCACCTCCGAGTCGAGTCTTACTATAATCACCTCCGAGTCGAGTCTTACTATAATCACCTCCGAGTCGAGTCTTACCTAATCACCTCCGATTCGAGTCTTACTATAATCACCTCCGAGTCGAGTCTTACTATAATCACCTCCGAGTCGAGTCTTACTATAATCACCTCCGAGTCGAGTCTTACTATAATCACCTCCGAGTCGAGTCTTACTATAATCACCTCCGAGTCGAGTCTTACTATAATCACCTCCGAGTCGAGTCTTACTATAATCACCTCCGAGTCGAGTCTTACTATAATCACCTCCGAGTCGAGTCTTTATTGATTGTTTTCCAGGAAGATTTTTTTCAGTTTCGATCGTTTTGTTGCTCTAAGCGCTTTCAAATCAGAATTGCTGCTCTTCGGCTGTGAGCGACGATCCCTGAATCGTGAGAGGTGGGTGGTGAGCGGAGAGCGGTGGGTGGTGAGTGGTGAGTGGTGAGTGGTGAGTGGTGAGTGGTGAGTGGTGAGTGGTGAGTGGTGAGTGGTGAGTGGTGAGTGGTGAGTGGTGAGTGGTGAGTGGTGAGTGGTGAGTGGTGAGTGATCACGGGTGACAGAGTCAGAGCATCGAAGCATGAGAACTGGTCTTGAAGCGACTCACAGGAAGGCGAGGTTTTGGAGTTTGGAGATGGAGGCTGGCAGGGACCCGGTGATGCTGTTGTCGTCCAGCCAGCTGGGGTCGGCAATGGCAGGGGGGGGTGGAATGGATGATAGACAGTGGCCGGAAATTGGTGATGGTGATGGTGTTGTCGTCCAGCCAGCTGTGGTCAGCGGTGCGGTGGGGTGGGGGGGCGTGGGGGGGGGAGGGTCAGGAGAGGGGGGGGATTTGAGGGTGGTAAAGAAAGAGGAACAGGAAAGGGGCAGGCACACAATAGGGATGACGAGTCTTAGTGTGGCCGATGGGTAGGGAGCGATGATGGTGCTGTCGTGTCGTCCAGCCACCTGGGGATGGCGGTGGGGGGAGTTGGGGATGAGAAAGAAAGAGGAAAAAGAAAGGGGGCAGATGGGAGAAAGGGGGATGTCTAGTCTTGGTGTGGTGTGGTGGATGCATGACAGGGAACCGGTGATGGTGTTGTTGTCCAGCCAGCTCGGGGTGGTAGTAGGGGGGGGATAAGAATGGGGAGAAAGAGACCACAGCAGCAGCAGCAGCAGCGGCGGCACCAGCAGAGGCGGCGGCGGTGGCGGCGGCGGTGGCGGCGGCAGCAGCAGCAGCAGCAGCGGCGGCAGCGGCAGCGGCAGCAGCAGCAGCGGCGGCAGCGGCAGCGGCAGCAGCAGCAGCAGTGGCTGGGGCGGCGGCGTCGGTGGCAGCAGCAGAGGCTCACATGGTGGAGAGGTCTGAGAGGCGGCTGATGGTCGATGGGATGCTGCCAGAGAAGCGATTGTGAATGCCGTTGCTGCAGGTGGGGTGAGTGGGAGGGGCGGATCAAATGGAAGATAATGGGAGGAGGATGACTGATGTCTCGACAAAGGATGCTGCCTGAGAAGAAATTGTGAATGCCATTGCTGCAGGAGGGAGGGGCGGATCAAATGGAAGATAATGGGTGGGTGCTGAATGGGTGCCAGAGAGGGGGGGAGTTGGTTGTGGGGAAGGGGAGAGATGCACAAGAGGAAAGGGGGGGAGGCTGAGAGCAAGGGCCTCAGTATAATCTGAGGATAAAGGGGTTGGGTTGGGTGGGTCATTTCTCCAGGGCATCTCGGCTTGACTCACATGTGCTGCAGACGCTTCAAGCCAACGAGGGGAGCGAGCGAGCCGGTGAGATTGTTGCCGGGAAGAGCGCTGCCGGGGAGGGATTCGAGGTAGTGCGGAGGGAGTGGGTGGGGAATGAGAGGGGGGATCAGAGGGGATGAAGGGGAGATTCGGGCGGAAGAACTGGGGGGATGAGTTTCGAGGTGCCTCAAAAGTGGGGGGATGAGGGAGGATGCATGAGGGGAGTGGAAGGTGGCAAGGGAGGCAAGAGAGAAGGGTCATGTTGTTGCAAGAAATTACGCTGGGATGGTGAAGGTAGTGCAAGGGCAACCAAGGGCAGGACTGAAAAGGTTGGAATTCAAGGTTTGGGTTTACGGCTTCAGGGTTCAGGGTTTAAGGTTGAGTACAACAAGCACTGACTGGCCATGTGCGTTTGCATCAACTCTTGGAGGGGAAGCAGGTGAATGGTGGTGGCGGGGTACTGGCTAGGTGTGAGAAGCAGGCACAGCTCAGATGTACACACACAGCATGATGAGGTTCGTGAGGCGCGAGAAGCAAGCTGGCAGCGAGGAAGAGAGGAGCAGCAGGTGGGTGGTTGGGTGGGTGGGTGGGTACTGGCTAGCTAGGCAGGACCGTATGGTTGAGACACAGTTGCACGCACAGCATGATGAGGTTGGTGAGGCGCGAGAAGCCAGCTGGCAGCGAGGAGGAGAGGCCCACACGTGCAAGCTCCCTGCGGAGAGGGGAGGAGTGGAGAAGGGTGGAGCGGAGTGGAGTGATCTTGTGAGAAGCGGAGTGGAGTGGGGTGGAGTGGAATGGAGTGGGTTGGTGGAACGGAATGGAGTGAAAGGGGGATACGAACATCAAGAGGGATAAAAATCAGATGAGATGGAAACAGAAGTGACCCCGAAAGCGAGCCTGAAACAGAAGTGACCCCGAAAGCGATCCCGAAACAGAAGTGACCCCAAAAGCGATCCCGAAACAGAAGTGACCCCAAAAGCGATCCCGAAACAGAAGTGACCCCGAAAGCGATCCCGGAACAGAAGTGACCCCGAAAGCGATCCCGAAACAGAAGTGACCCCGAAAGCGATCCCGGAACAGAAGTGACTCCGAAAGCGATCCAGAAACAGAAGTGACCCCGAAAGCGATCCCGAAACAGAAGTGACCCCGAAAGCGATCCCGAAACAGAAGTGAACCCGAAAGCGATCCCGAAACAGATGTGACTCCGAAAGCAATCCCAAAACAGGGGTCCGAAGCGGGTTCCACTCGGGAAGCAGAGGGTGGTGGTAGGGCAAGAGAGACACTTCTATTCTAGGAGTCTCAATCAAGCTTTGGCATGCAGCATAACAGACAAGCGTGACGATGGCACGCAGCATAAAGGACAAAGAAATCAGTTCACACATATTTTGACAGTCAAATTGGGAATCAAGATCGCTGTTGAGATTTCTCAAAAGTGGAGTGGGCAAGAGACAGCGCACATGACACGACAACAGAACCAAGGAGCAACAGGCAGAGATGGAAGTTGGGACTCCGATCGTAAAGAATCACTCACAGGCGCGTCAACGAAGTGAGGCGGGAGAAGAAGTGGGGAATGGTGCCGGACAAGATAGTGCCACCGCCCACACTCCTGGTGGTGCGGTGCCAGCATTGAGAGGCGAGGGGTGTGGATGGGAGAGGAAAGAGGAGGAACAGATGGGCATTTTGAGTCAACTCAAATGAAGAAGAGGGTTGGGGGATGGGGCTGATAGTGCCGTGCAGCAGGCTGCTGGTGGTGCCAGAATTCAGAAAGACGACTTTAGAGATAGTGCCTCAACAATGGGGCTGATAGTGCCTCAACAATGGGGCTGATAGTGCCTCAACAATGGGGCTGATAGTGCCTCAACAATGGGGCTGATAGTGCCTCAACAATGGGGCTGATAGTGCCGTGCAGGCTGATAGTGCCCTGCAGGCTGCTGGTTCCAGATTTCCAGAGGGAGGGGTGTGATGTCTGAGAAAATTGAAAAGACAATCCAGTATTTCGGACTCCTGGTGCCACATAGGGGCCAGAATTTCGAGAATCTTGGAAGGTCAATCCAGTGTTCAAGGCTCCTGGTGTGAACATTTGGAAGAGTGGAGAGGGGCCGTGTATGGGAGAAGATAATCGGAAGGGGATAGCAGATGGGCATAGATGAGCATAGCGGGCAAGAGCAGAGAAGGCACCAGCGTTGCAGCAAGAGGGGGATGCATTGCCCCACAGTGGTTTGATTTGCACCACGAGGGGGATGCGTTGCCTCATAGCGCTTGGACGTCACGACTCACAGGCAATTGATTCGAGGCTTACAGTGATTTGAGTTGCGCTAGTTGGGACAGGGATGCAGGGAATGAACCCCCCACTACCGCATTCGAGATCTGCCTGCGAGTGGCGACAGTGGAGAGGAAGGGAGGGCGAGATCCTCAAGAGGAATTTGAGTCGGTTAATTTGGGACAGAGATGCACGGAAGGGAACGGCCCCCCGGCTACCGCGTTGGAGATCTGCCTGTGAGCGATGATGGTGGAGAGGAGAGGGGGAGGAAACGAGAGGTGCACACACAAGGGTGACTCGTCACACGTGAAATAAGTCGATTTTTGAGTCGACTCAAAAATCAACTTATCACACAAGGGTGACTCGCCACGCGTGAACACGAACAAAAAAACCCGAGCGTTTTCAGTTGCTTGAGTTGGAATACGGATGTGGGAAATGGCAGAGAGAGGCCGGGAATGTCAAGGGGGAGATGAGGAGCTGAGGAGGTCAATGTGGAGGATATGAGGAGGTGAGGAGGTGAAGTGAAGTTACCAGCACCATAGGATTCTTGGAGAGCATTCACTCAGTACAGCAGCAGGACTTGTCAACAGGTGGGCAGCAGGACAGGACAGGTGGGCTGCGGACAGGACAGGTGGGCTGCGGAGGCCTTACTTCCATCAGGTTTAGTAGATTGTGCATGTTCAAGGCAACTTTAGTGAAGTTGCCAGCAATTTCAGGGCTCTTGGTGAGCATTCACATATTCAGAAGCAGCAGCAGTATAGCCATTGCGCTTGCAGCTCTGAGCTCTTTCTTACAACGATATGGCTTGCAGCGAACACATAGTGATTGGCCGTACAGTGAAGCAGATGGGTCGAGGAGGGGTCGTACAGGGAAGTGAGGGAGGTGAGTTGGCCGATGACTGAGGGGATGCTTGGCATGCGGATGGGTGGAATGGTGGGGGAAGAGAGACTCCTGTGAGCAGGGGAACATGGGAAAAGGGGAAGAGACGGATTCAAATCTAAGCTGGGCCGCTTCAAAAGGTTAGGGAGGTGAGACGGTCGAATGAGATGTGAGAGGTGAGACGGGCGAATGAGATGTGGGAGGTGAGACGGGCGAATGAGATGTGAGAGGTGAGACGGGCGAATGAGATGTGAGAAGTGGGACGGGCGAATGAGATGTGAGAGGTGAGACGGGCGAATGAGATGTGAGAGGTGAGACGGGCGAATGAGATGTGAGAGGTGAGACGGGCGAATGAGATGTGAGAGGTGAGACGGGCGAATGAGATGTGAGAGGTGAGACGGGCGAATGAGATGTGAGAGGTGAGACGGGCGAATGAGATGTGAGAGGTGAGACGGGCGAATGAGATGTGAGAGGTGAGACGGGCGAATGAGATGTGAGAGGTGAGACGGGCGAATGAGATGTGGGAGGTGAGACGGGCGAATGAGATGTGAGAGGTGAGACGGGCGAATGAGATGTGAGAGGTGAGACGGGCGAATGAGATGTGAGAGGTGAGACGGGCGAATGAGATGTGAGAGGTGAGACGGGCGAATGAGATGTGAGAGGTGAGACGGGCGAATGAGATGTGAGAGGTGGGACGGGCGAATGAGATGTGAGAGGTGAGACGGGCGAATGAGATGTGAGAGGTGAGACGGGCGAATGAGATGTGAGAGGTGAGACGGGCGAATGAGATGTGAGAGGTGGGACGGGCGAATGAGATGTGAGAGGTGAGACGGGCGAATGAGATGTGAGAGGTGAGACGGGCGAATGAGATGTGAGAGGTGAGAAGGGCGAATGAGATGTGGGAGGTGAGACGGGCGAATGAGATGTGAGAGGTGAGACGGGCGAATGAGATGTGAGAGGTGAGACGGGCGAATGAGATGTGAGAGGTGAGAGGGGCGAATGAGATGTGAGAGGTGAGACGGGCGAATGAGATGTGAGAAGTGGGACGGGCGAATGAGATGTGAGAGGTGAGACGGGCGAATGAGATGTGAGAGGTGAGACGGGCGAATGAGATGTGAGAGGTGAGACGGGCGAATGAGATGTGAGAGGTGAGACGGGCGAATGAGATGTGAGAGGTGAGAGGGGCGAATGAGATGTGAGAGGTGAGACGGGCGAATGAGATGTGAGAGGTGCGACGGGCGAATGAGATGTGGGAGGGGAGACGGGCGAATGAGATGTGGGAGGTGAGACGGGCGAATGAGATGTGAGAGGTGAGACGGGCGAATGAGATGTGAGAGGTGCGACGGGCGAATGAGATGTGAGAGGTGAGACGGCCGAATGATATTTCAGAGGAACTGGCAGGTATGCGGCTGGCTGTGGGTAGGACGGAGAAAGAAGCAAGCCACTTGTGGAGACAGTTTCAAAATCCAAGGAGCCTTTTTGGTGGCCGATAGCAGGGGAAGCGCCTTGCCATGCGGAATCCATGGAGATTAAGGTGAGTAATGGAATGTCAAGGCGTTTCAAAAAAGAAATCATGCCGAAAATGCAAGGGATTTGAACAGTGAGGGTTACAGCGCAGGTAGACGGAGAGCAGTGCAGAAGAGGGGGAAGAGAGGGATCAGTGAGTGGTAGAATGCAGCGCAACGAACGGCTTTCTCACAGTGATTGCAGGCGCACGAGGGACAGAACCTCCTGAGGGAGAGAGAGCATGGACCCGAGGTTGCTGCATGGGGGCAGTGTGCACCAGAGAGGTACCAAAGCAGATGGATGGAGGAGAGACCGAACAGGAGGGAAGGGTAAGGAAGGAAGTGGAGAAGCGTCAGTGAAAGTGGTGAGAATGAGCGGACGCATGCTTGGGCTGGGAGGGCTGATTCGTGGGCGGGCGAGCGAGGATGTACGCATGCTGAGGTGCAATGCCTAAGCTTAGAGCTCAGGCAGGGTCGACCTCCCAGGTGCCTCACGGATTCTGAGATGTGTAGAAAATAAAAGATTCCTGATGACAGACAAACTTCTTCTGAGGAGCACAAGAGTTCGTGCCGGCCGCGAGTTTGCCTTGTTGTGTGGCTGGCTATTAACTAAGTGAATGTGAATGGATGCACAGCACGTGCACTGCAGATGGGTGAGACTGGGGCACCTATCAGGCCGAACGGACCAGGGTTTGCAGTGCATCCCATCGAACTTGGCTGCTTTGCAGCGGAAGAAAGCAATTAAACATGCAGAAGACGAACCCCTTTATACGTACAGTGACGTTACGTATCCCTGCGCGTCACACTTTATCTCCATTATAAGGTCGCAATCCTCCTCCACCGTGACGGGCCCCTGCCCCTGCGCGCTGCCTCCGCTCGTCCCATTGCCAGCTGCGCTCGCACCCGTTCCCCCTGGCGTGGCAGGCACGGACTGGCCCAGAATCACGCTTAAAGCGGCCCCTGGGGAGGGGAATACGGAACGGGGGAACGAGGTTGAGGGGGGGGGTGGGAGGGGGGGTGGATGATGAGCCCCTGCCCCTGCCCCTGCCCGCTGCCTCCGCCAGTCCCATTGCCAGCTGCGGTAGCCCCCGTTCCCCCTGGCGTGGCAGGCACGGACTGGCTCAGGAATCACGCTTAAAGCGGCCCCTGGGGAGGGGAATACCCGATGGGGGAAACGATGTAGTGGCGGGAATGGATGTATGTCGACGGATTAGAGCGGAGGCCGTAGTAAAAGTGCTCATCGGCAAGCGGGGGGGGGGGGGGGGGGGGGGGGGGGGGGGGGGGGGGGGGGAGGGAAGGCCTGCCCGCCGCCTCCGCTCGTCCCATTGCCAGCGGCGCTAGCGCCCGTCCCCCCTGGCGTGGCAGGCACGGACTGGCTCAAAATCACACTCAAAGCGGCCCCTGGGAAAATACAGAACAGGGGAACGAGATAGTGCGGGGGTGGATGATCGACAGCAGATTAGGGTGGGGGCTGAATAACGTCATCAGCTGGGCTAAGGATGATCTGGCCGCCAGATTTGCGGCAAAGGGGTCGATTTGGCGCATTTTCCCGTTCCCTCTGACGCGCCGCCAGCACAGCGGCCTGCCGCTGGCTGCTGCTGCCCGTCCCCCCTGATGACGGGCCGCGCACGGTCTGCCGCTGGCTCAGAATCACGCTCAAGGCGATCCCTGGGGAATGTTAGAGGGCCCTACGACAGCAAGGGCCCTCGCGAAATGTTAGACTTGGCAGGTTGACGACCGACGACCTGGTCTACTCGGCACCGTCGCACAGGTTCGATGGCAGTCAAGTGTGACTACGGGTGAATGCGAGCTGCAGTAAGGAATCTGCTGAAGTCGGTGCTGGGAAGTAGAGTCGTGGGAGTCTTTGTGTGCTTCCTTATGAGGCACGCCACTCCCAAGCTGAGTCGGATGGAGTTGCGTGCTCGGAAGGTTTTCGCTGCTGAGTTGGATGGAAGTTTGGCGGGGCGCGTTCGCCAACTCCCACAGCACTTTCGTGTGGGTTGGGTTACTCGCAGCGCCCTCGCTACCTTTTGTGAACGCTTGCTTGCCTTTATATGTTTGTGTTTGCTTGTGTGTTTCATATATTCTATTTTCCTAGTGAAGTCCAATCTCTCTCGCCGTCGTAGTGCTCTCCATAATATTCCTTCATGGTGCGGTGAGCGTGGAACGAACACGCATAGAATTCCGTCGTCGACTTTCTTAGCGTTCGTAAACTCGCCTTGGCGTGCGGCGTTAGTGAAGGGCGCATATTAAATTAAGTTGAACCTCTCTTAATTTCCCTCCAGTTACGTTCTCGGACCCAAGGATAGGGCGTTTGGTAATTTATTACCACTCGTCTGAGGACCCTTGTGAGGTGACCCCGAGACGAGGGATTTAAGGAAGGAACAATTTATTTTAATTTGTGGCACCTTATCGAGGCGTCGTAGAGGATGAGTTCGGAGGAGGCGGACGTTGAGGCCGTTAATTTTCGCGCACTAGAGGAGGAGCTCGTGGCACGTCGTTCCCGTGGCGAGCTTAGTAATGTAGATTACGAGCTCATGTTGGAGGGATTACGCTCTCGTCAGCGTCGCGATCATCCCTCGCCACATGTAGAGCAAGCTGCGGGAGGCACTAGTGCGTGGGACATGGCTGTCAATGACGGAGGTGACGATGACGAGGAGGTTGATGGGTTGATGTCGCGTGGGGTCCTGCGAGGACCAACTCGGTTTAGTACGACTAGCGTCGGCGGTGTACAGGAGCGTGTTCATCGTGCGGCGGCGTCACACGAGCGTACGAACTTAGGACGACAGAGCGCTGCTGGAGGAGGGAATGCGGAGGAGTACGATAGTGGAGCTATGCCGGGCATTACCCCGATTGGATCGATGTCGAGGGATGAGGGAATAGCCCCCAACTATGGCTACTTCAAATTCACTCCAGACAGAATCGTCGTGCCTAAGCCGCTCGAAGGACGCCACGACCTATCGACGTGGGTAGAATCGATCGAGCCGCAGCTTGAGATCGCTCAACTAAAGCGATTCATTGACGGTACCACTCCTATTCCACCAACGCAGGCAGTTGCGCATCTCACTCAGTTCCGCGCAATGCAGTTACTGACGTTCACCACGATTTCCCGATGCTGCTCCCCAACCGTACAGATTGCCCTTAAGGGGTGTCGCATGAAGGTAGATGCCGGCTATCAGGCATGGCAGTTTATTATGCGCACGTACATGGCGAAGGACGATCTGTACATCGGTCAGTTAGAGCAGGCGCTCACTAACCTCGAGATGGGTGAGCACGAGTCCGCTACGTCCTATTGCAACCGTGCGCAGCAGATCCTAGTGAACCTGAGGATGGCCGGCGTCGATTACTCGCAGGCGTCGTACATTACTCACGTCGTGAAGGGGTTGCCGCAGCAGTACAACCTCTTACGCAGGATGCTGAAGCTGCCGCAGGTACGCAAGGAGTTGGACGAGGACACCCTCGCTAGCTACATTATCGAGGAGGAGTGTACGCTGGCAGCGGAGGGACGGAAGGACCAATTTCTTCCCCAGGCCAACCAGGTCTTTACCAAGAAGGGTAAGCCCCAATCCCAGCAGACTTCATCCCCTTCCCCTCCCACTACGGCACAGCAGCAGCAGCCTAAGACTGGGGGTGGGGTTGGAGGTGGAGGAGAGAAGTGGAAAGGGGCTAAGGATGGTCCGCCAAAGGGGGGGAAAGGTGGCTTCAAGGGGAAGTGCTACGTGTGTGGACAGACAGGGCATGTTGCTAAGTACTGTCAGCAGCGGGCGGATAAGGAGGCAGACACGGGTGGAGAGGGTTCTGGAGGCAGCGGCGCGAGTGGCAAGGGGGACGATGGCTCTAAGGGGAGCGGGCAGTCATCATGTGCGATGGTGAAGCCCGTTGTAGAGCAGACTCCTCTTGTCGTGCTGGAGCCTGAGGCCGGGGAGGGCTTACAGGCTCTTGCAGCTGCTGTGAAGGCGAACCCGAGCGTCGTGCTACTTGATAGTGGATGCTCCCACCATCTCATGGGAGATCGTTCTGCCTTTGTGGAGATGAGCAGCGGCGGTAGTATCAAACAAGTGAAAGGCTTCAACGGCGCGCTTCAGGACGTGCAGGGGCGAGGCACAGTCGCTCTTCTTGGAGAAGGGGGCAGGCGTCTCTTGGTGTCTGACGTGCTGTACGTACCTGGAGTGCAGGCGAGTCTTCTTTCTGCTGGGCAGCTGCGTGATAGTGGTGTGCAACTGCTGGATGCAGGCGACGTGACTCTGCTGCGGGCACCAGATGGGTCACTTCTTGGGCGTGCAGAGTACAAGGGGCGTGTTCTCTGCACGAACTTCCAACCGTGTTTGTCGCAGCAGCAGGAAGGCGAAACGGTGGCACTTCGTACCTTGACGACGGGCGTGCGGTCTAAGGTGGACATGTGGCATGCGCGTATGGCACACGTTGGTATTGATGCCATCGAGCGCACTGCGTCTCACGGGTCAGTGAAGGGCTTGGACCTGGAGAAGGGGGGCAAATCAGGCATACCGTGTGTCTCCTGTGTTGGGGGGAAGATCACTCGTCATACCTTCCCGCCAGTGGGTGCGGAGGAGGATGAGTTGCTTGGGGTGGTGCATGCTGACCTGTGTGGCCCTTTCCGTGAAACAGCTAAGGACGGCAGCCGCTACTTCCTGGTGCTGAAGGATCGCAAGTCGCGGTACGTCTGGGCCTACCCTTTGGCTCAGAAGAGTGATGCGCTGGCGGCGTTCCAGAAGTGGCTCCCGATGGCAGAGCGGCAGTGCAAAACCACGGTGCAGGCGCTGCGCACTGATCGAGGTGGCGAGTTCTTGGGGCATGACTTCACGCTCTTCCTCGACGGCAAAGGCATCATCCATGACCTCACGTGCCCGTACACGCCGGAGCAGAACGGGATGGCCGAGAGGGAGATGCGCAGCATTGTGGAGGCGGTGCGGACGATGCTACTGCACATGGGTGTACAGCATCATTGGTGGCACCTGGCGTTGGCGCAGGCCGTCTGGGTGCGCAACCGCGTGGAGCATGCCTCGCTGCCCTCTGGTGTGACGCCGTACGAGCTCGCCTTTGGACACAAACCCGATGTCAGTATGGTGCGGGTATGGGGCTGCATGGTGCAGTACATGGTGCCTCAGTCGCAGCGTGGGGGGAAGCTGGCACCAAAGGCTCGCTGGGGGTTGCACTTGGGGGTGTCCGCAGCGAGCAAGGGCTGGACTGTGCTGGACTTGGAGTCCAACCGCCTCATCACCACTGTGGAAGCTGTTTTCTATGA